ACTGAAGTGTTCATTTTGCCTAGAAACTGCAGTCAAATGAATGTTGAAGTCGTTTTTGTAGTTTCACATATGTGAAAGCACATATATTGTAATTGAGACTGTGAACCTGTATCTCACATAATTGTGAGCTTTAATGTAATTTGCCACTCTGAGTAAATGTTTTTCAAATAATATAATAGAAATGCCTTAATCAATCGATCAATCAATCAATCAATCAATCAATCAATCAATCAATCAATCAATGAACAAACTAATCAATCAATCAATTAATTAATCAACTGTATTTCTTGCTTAGGACAGGTTTGGTTGTATGGGCAGGTTTGAGAGTGGGCTAAGAGGCAAGTGATGGAGCAACAGTGCCACTATAATGTAATTACAGAAATTACAGATGTAATCACATGCAGGAATTTTTACCCAAATACGTTTTAAATTTTTTTTTTTTGTTTTTTATATATGCCAAAATTATTAGGATATTTTTTTCCTAAATATTGGTTAGTTCGCACTTTATCTAGACAAATTTAAATTGGCTTTTTTCAGTACTTTGTATGGAGCCCTCAGATTATAGATTGTTTTTTTTTTTAAGTTGTATGTCTGCCAGATATTCTCCTATACAACAAACTGGTAAGCTTTGAATCAATAGGAAGCTTATTAATCAGATGATGTCTAAGTATAAATAATAAAATGACACTTATGACTGGTTTTGTAGTTCAGGGTCACATACGAGTACAAGGTAAAATATGTACACTATGTACACAGTAAGTAATTACTGTAACTATGTGCATTGTACTAAATAATTCATTTAAATTTAAACACATAGCACAATTTCCAAAAAACAAAATAATAAAGGCCAACTAATAACAAATATAAGAAAACAGATGTCAATGAACAGAATTTCAAAGAACATAATATAAACTCAGAAAACAGCATTAAATTAATTTACAAATTCAATAATAAATCTACTGTTATGAAGTTATTTTGTTATTTTATATATATATATATATATATATATATATATATATATATATATATATATATATATATATATATATATATTAGATAGATAGATAGATAGATAGATAGATAGATAGATAGATAGATAGATAGATAGATAGATAGATAGATAGATAGATAAAGTGAGAATTATTAGCCCCCCTTTGGATTTTTTTCTTTTTTAAATATTTCCCAAATGATGTGTAACAGAGCAAAGAAATTTTCACAGTATGTCTGATAACATTTTTTCTTCTGAAGAAAGTCTTATTATTAAATTTACATTTAAAAAAAAAAAACATTTTAAGGACAAAATTATTAGCCCCTTTAGGCTACAAAACAAACCATCGCTATACAATAACTTGCCTAATTACCCTAACCTGCCTAGTTAACCTAATTAACCTAGTTAAGCCTTTAAATTTCACTTTAAGTTGTATAGAAGTGTCTTGAAAAATATCTAGTAAAATATTATTTACTGTCATCATGGCAAAGATAAAAAATCAGTTATTAGAAATGAGTTAAAACTATTATGTTTAGAAATGTGTTGAAAAAATCTCTCTGTTAAATAGAAAACAGGGAAAAACAGGGGGGCCAATAATTCAGGGGGCTAATAATTCTGACTTTAACTGTATATATTTATTAGACATATGCTATATATAACAAATTTTCAGGTCAATATAGGGTATATGCAGAGTTAATGTTTCTTCCCTTAACGTTATACTTCCGATGAATGGTTAATGTGACTTTTTCAATTTTATACAGTACTTTTTACAGCATCGATGTTGTAATGTGATTAAAATATAATCAGTTGAATAGACTTCAGCGTACATTTAGTTGAAGTGTAAAACGAGATGAAAAGCCGTTTACTCGCACAACCCGTCAGGATGAGCAGGGCAGCGCAGAAAAGGCATTGGAAATACTGGAGTGAAAAAATGTAAATACTTTAAAGACACGGTACGAATATTTTTTTTATTTAATGCAGTGCTTCTTGTACATTCTGAGACCCACTACTTTATAATGTATATCATTTAGGCAGTAAAGATCATTGATTTTTATAGAAAACAGACCTTAAACGTGCCAATTTTTTAATGGCATACAGTTTACCGGAAGTGGTTGACCCAGGTTACTGACAAATTAATAGTCCCTTTGTATGATTCTGAATATACCCAATTAGTAGCCCTCTTAAGCAAAATCTTTTTAAAATTATCTACAGAACAAGCAATGTTTAACTGTCTAATTAATAAAATTAACCTAGTTGAGTCTTTAAATGGCACTTTATGTTGCACTAACTAACTGAATAGTTATTGAAATTAGTTCATAAATCTAGTATGTTTAGAAATATTTAACTTTACGTTAAACTCAATTTTGGGAAAAATATACAGGAGGGCTAATAATTCAGGAGGGCAAAATTTTTTTTTTATCAATCTAGCAAAACTGTATGTCATCACAACATAGTTGTCCAAGACAATAGCTTTATTATTGATTTTCTAAATATCATGATCTGTGTAGTGCATGTACAGTAAAATCTGTCCCTGTCACATACTTCACTTCACTGTGCGCCTCAAAAACTGCCCTCAGGATCAATAAACATATGATGAGTAAGTGTTTTCTCGGGATAGATTATTGATTAAGTCTGTCTGCATTAGCTTCGGATCTTGTCACAGTCTCTCATTACAGTATTAGACACATCCTATCAGTGGTTACTGTCTCGTTTCAATATAGTTTGATTGATGAATGTAGAATAGGAATTAACCCAGAGTGTCAAGCCTGTTATATTAATGCAATTACAAGTGAATAAGGAACTTAATAAGAGTCATGTTTACATCCCATATGCTCTGTTAAACAGCCACAACACTCATGATTTTGGTTTTATACGCTACTTTAAATGCTCTATGAGTCTTTTGTATTTTTTTTATTAGTATGGATATAAGTGTGGTAAAAAAAATGGTTGAGGTTGTTTAATTTATTTTTGAAAACCCAATAAGTTTTGAGTTTTCAGGTGGTCAAAACACTCCTGTTGTCTAAAAGAAAAGCTTGAATGCATACAAATAAGTATTTGTACAAATGGTGTTGTGCAAGTGCCCTGTTAGTGTTATTTATATACTGCAACTTGATTCTAACTAAAATTTTAGTTCATTGTTATGTGTTTGCCATTTTTATTAATAATTCATTTGAATTAGGGCTGCACGACTTAGGAAAAAACTGACATGGCATAATTTTCATTCACTGCATTATATTTTGCGATATGAGTGCAATTTCAGCTGATGACTTGAATAGCTTGTAAAGAATTCATAATTTAGATAGGGATGATTCTTTAGGGGAATATAAGAATAAGATGTCATTTAAAAAATGACAGGCAAAGTTTAAGTCTGGGCGATTTGGCCTAAAATCAAAATGACGATTTTAACTCTATTGCGATTAATGAGCGATTCTTTTATTTATTTATTTATTTATTTATTTTTTGCCCTCTCTATGCCGTCCACACTTGTCAACGCTACCAAGCTGACCAATCAAATAGCTTGCGATATGCATCGTCGTGATGTGCAAGTAAATTATTTGAGAGGTCAGTGTCAGCCTCAGTCATGGCAAGGGGTATGCGACCATGGCTGTGCCAGACCATACACTGTGTTCGACGCAGAAGTGTAAACAGAGTGAGGTTACATGACTCCACACGTGGTATGGAAAGGAATTGAAAAAAAAAATGACTTGGAAATTTTTTTTAATCGATTTTAGGTTCTGAATGTCGATTTAGATTACTTTTCGATTAATCACCCAGCCCTACAAAAGATGCAAATAAACAATTTATGATTTTCTGGGGTCAAACAGTGTTCAGAAGCAGAAATTAAATAATCACTGTATAATAATAATAATAATAATAATAATAATAACACTGTATCGTTTTAATGGAGTCAGTAATTTAATTGAGCAAGCAACTTTCACTATGTTGTTAACTGTAATGTCTGGTCAACTATAATCCAGACTACATTGCAGATCCCTGCGATGTGACTGCAGACCCACACATTGCGATATCAATGCTGAAATGATATATTGTGCAGCCCTAAATTAAATGGTTTAAAAAAAAAATGTAAGCAATGAAAAAAATGCTAGCTTCAACATAGTTCCTTCATGTTGTCCCAACACAAATTGATGAAGTTAACTTAATTGTTTTAAAAAATTAAGTTGATTGAATGTAAAACAACTAAGTTGTCCCGTTGAAAAAAAATCTAAAAAATTGTGTAGATTCAGCTTATTATAATTAAGTAGTTTAAACAAACAGCAAATATCAACATCACTGAGTTTAATCGCTAAAAATTAATCTTATTAAACTTTAATATTTTAATTTTATCCAAACATGCCATCATCTGACATTACATACATATACCCTAAACAAACATAAAACAGCAAACAGTTTAGCAAGCCTCTAAACGTCATTAGATTTTTTTTCCCTTAAATGAGCATTTTTTTCAGCCTCTCGTGTTTATGTCTGGTTATTTAAATAATCTATTCTTTGCCATGAAAGTTAAAATACTGAACTTATACACAGGAGCATGTACGATATGCTGAAGATGATGGTATTAAATTGTTTCCTATTCCTTATTCATTTTGCATTTGTGTTAGATCTTCAATTTAATAATTGAAGAAAAAAAAGAAAATAAATAAATTTAAAAAAGGATTGAAAGGAAATCAAAATATACTAATTCTTATCTTGTTACAATTTGATACATAAATAAATGTACATTCTCAGTCAGAAGCATTACTTTGTTCAGTCCTTTCCTTTAAATGCCAAATGTTTTGTTTATTCATATAGCATGTCTTACATACCTTTCATAGGTTTTATTAACTAATGTTTAATACACTCAATAAAAAAAAGTTTTTTGGTGCTTGTTTAAGTTACTTATTTAAATTGAGTTGAATCGACACAATTCTTGAGGCTTTATTGAGACAACTTGTTATATGTTCAGTCCACTTAAATTTGTAATAACGTTTAATTTAACTTAATTGTAAACATGAAATAATTCTGTGGAAGCCAGCATTTCTTACAGCGTAATTAAATAATTTTTTCTTTTCTCTAATGATATATACAAAATATTAAATAATTAAATGTATTAAATAAATAATCTCTTAAAAGGTACTAAAAATATTGACCTTAAAATTGTAAATAAACTAATAAATAAATGAATAAAAACAGTTTTTATTACAGCCAAAGTAAAATAAATAAGTGAAAAAGCTATAAAATAAGAAATGAAAAATAAAATTCGATTTTAGTTTTTTTTTTTTTAGGTTGTTAAATCAGCAAGGAGTTTCAATACAAATGCATTATAGCAAAAGTATTAGTCCTCCTAAGAAAATAGTGTGTATGTGTATATGTATATACATATACACACTATTTTCTTAGGAGGGCTAATACTTTTGCTATAATGCATTTGTATTGAAACTCCTTGCTGATTTAACAACCTAAAAAAAAAAAAAAAACTAAAATCTTCACATGACTCTCTATCATATAATACACTAAATGTCCCTCTTTGTTCTCCACAGGAAGTTGCACCAGCAATTTAAGATGTACAAGGACCAGGTGAAGAAGATCGGTGATGAGGCTCCGAAGAACCCAGAGCAGAAGGGAGATTCGCCCACATGTGGAATCTGCCACAAAACCAAGTTTGCCGATGGCTGCGGCCACGTCTGTTCTTATTGCCAAACTAAGTTCTGCGCTCGCTGTGGAGGACGAGTCTCCCTCCGCTCCAACAAAGTACGTCTCTCTCTCGCTCTCTCTTCTATGTGGCCCTGTGGCTGTTTATCTTATGCTAAATTTGTATGCTCAATTTCATGTTTTGCTTCTGGTGTTGGTGGATTTTGATTAAACAGGGGGTTAACCACTTTATGCCACAAGAGGGTGCTGAAATGTAAAACAAAAAAAAAAATGAATAAAGCACCAAATAGTGGAATATTGTTATATCGTTCACTAATTTCTGTTGTGTTTGTGGTACAATGGCTCTTTTCAGAATCTATGTAATAATTTGAAATAATTGCACAGCCAGTCAAACGTTTGATATAATAATAGTGATTTTATTCTTGTTTATGCAAACATATGCTAATTTTTTGATCAATGTGATTACAATTTAAAAATACTTTTTTTCTATTGTAATGTACTTAAAAGTATACATTCCTTTGAAGTCAAAGCTGAATTTTTGTGAGTGTCATGAATATGCGGATTTGCATTTTGAAAAAAACATTTTGATAACGTAATCACATATTTTTGTAGAGTACTATTAACATTTTTGGGGTAAGTATGCTATCAGTCCACGATATTTCCATTATCAATAGTGTTTATCAGTTGAATTTTATTCAATCATTGATTCATTCATTTTCCTTCGGCTTAGTCCTTGGCCTAGTTATCCAGCTTATGTTTTACAGTGGATGCCCTTCCAGCTGCAACCAAGTACTGAGATAACTGAATTTATTCAATCATACATTTTCTTTCCGGCTTAGTCCCTTTTTTAATCAGGGGTCACCACAGTGGAATGGACAGACAACTTATCCAGCATATATTTTACGCAGCGGACGCCCTTCCAGCTGCAACCCATCACTGGGAAACACCCATACACTTTTATTCACGCACATACATTACAGACAATTTAGCTTACCCAATGCACCTGTACCACATATTTTAGGACTTGTGGGGGGAAACCAGAGCACCCGGAGGACCCAGCCAAGGCTCGAACCAGTTTGCATGTTCTTCAATGGGTTTCCTCTAGGTGCTCTGGTTTCCCCCACAAATCCAAAGACATGTGGTACAGGTGAACTGGATAAGCTAAATTGTCCGTAGTGTATGCGTGTAAAGGAGTTTGTATGGATGTTTCCCAGTACTGGGTTGCAGCTGGAAGGGCATTCGCTGTGTAAAACATATGCTGGATGTCTTGCAACCCCCTGATGAAAAAAGGGACTAAGCCGAAGGAAAATGAATTAATATATCAGGATATCAGTATATCAGGACTTATGAAGGATCATGAAGTTAGCAAATTTTTTAAGTAGAAATTATAGAAAGAAGTTCAACATTCATGCATTACATACTGTAGCTGCAAGTTGGTAGAATAGCTTAAGGCAGGAGCACTAACTTTATTTCTATTTATTTATTTGAAAGATTTACAAATACAGACACAGGCTGTTTCATGTTGTTTCCACTAGTGGGCGATGTATCACATTGTATTCCATGCAGTGATTTAGCTCTAAATCTGTATTTCTTTTGCAATACTTATATTTAATTTTTGGTCTTGCAACAGTTTAGTCGTAAAGCATGTTTTTAAATAATAAAGCTACTAAAAGGGCATTTTTAAAGTCATGCCACAGAAAAACCAACAGAGCCATTTTTAGCATCTGTAAAGAGACTTCTGATAATATAAACAACACTTTTCCACTAAAAGGAATCTTTTGTGTTATGAAAAGGTTCCATGGATGTTAAAAGTTCTTCATGAAAACTGCCAATAAGTGCAATCAGTGAACCTTTGGAGTTTAAAGTTGAACACATGAATTAATATTATTATTAGATTCTTAACATTTCTCTCCGTTCCCCACTGTGCTTTTCTTTGTCCTTTATGTTTCACATGTTTTATCACACATCACATCAGCTGCTTGCATAAATTTACAGCAGGGGGACAAAATGTTCAGCAGCTCTGCATTTTCTCAGTGTTTATTTTCTCTCTGTGGTTTAAAAATGTTTTCAAATTCTCAAAAGAGCCTTTATTATGGACCATTAAAACTGTAAAAAAAAAAAAAAGTTAATTACAAAGATAATCGGATGTATCCAAAAATAATACATTTAATTATCACATAATGCTGGCAATATTTGCTTCCCATTAGACTAAAAGAAAATTAACATAGTTTAGGACAATATATATATATTTATAATACCAGTCACGAGTTTGAGATGGGTATATTTTTTCTATTTAGCATGTAAAAGAAATATTTCATGTTCCAAAATAATGTATTAAAAATACATAGAAAAACTGTAAGATGTGAAATTTATATTTTATAACTATAACTAATATGAAGTAACATATAATGTTTTCTAGATGAATATACAGTTTGTTTAAAAGTATAATTTATTCCCTTCAGTGCCATATAAGTCTTCAGAAATGTTGATTTGATGATCAGTAAACAATTAATTTATCAGCTGTTTAGAGCAATGCTTTAAGGAAATAGTGACTTTTTTAAAACCAATATTTAATGAATTTCAAATAAAATTTATTTGAAATGTGAATCTTGTTACAACTTAAATATATTTAATGTCACTTTTGATCATTTTAATGTGTGCTTGCTTAATAAAAGCGTCCCCAGACCTTTAAAATGTAGTTGTTTATATTTGCATTCTAAGACTATTTTCATATTTATACACATTATTGTGACAAAATTAATTAAAACATACATACATAAATACGTTTTATTTATAAAAAACATAATAGTTTTAATGAATTAATTTCTAAGAACTGATATCCGTTATCTTTTCCATGATGACAGTACATAATATTTTGCTAAATGTTTTTCAATGTATTTAGCTTAAAGTGCAATTTAAAGGCTTAACTAGGTTAATAAGGTTAACTAGGCAAGTTAGGGTAATTAGGCAAGTCATTGTATAACAATGGTTTGTTCTACAGGCAATCCAAAAAAAAAATAAAATAGCTTAAGTGTTCTAACAATTTTGATCTGAATATGGTTAAAAAAACAGCTTCATTTCTAACAGAAAAAAAAACAAACAAGACTTATTCCATAGAAAGAAAAAAAAATTGTTGCAAATTTATTAAAAATAAAAAACCTGAAAAATCACACGTACACAAGTATTCACAGCCTTTGCCGTGAAGCTCTAAATTGAGCTCAGGTACATTTTGGCTGTTTCTCAATTCCAAGAACGCAGAGAACAGACTTGTTTTCTTGTGGAGAACGGTCTTGCCAGGTGTCCTCGGAAGAACGAACTCAGGAGACCGCGAGGGCAGAGAATGCGTCCTTTGAGAATTGAGATGCTGCGTTCTTCCTGATGGTCATGTGACCTTCACGTCTTTTAAATGGTAAATTATTTAAACATTACAGCCTTCATACAACGATTTATTGTTTTTCCCTTTTCAAAATATATACTTTGCATAAAAACATTATAAATCTATGTTGCACAATATGAATAAAACAGATTTTAATACGAATTTCAGCAAACAAACAACCCTTAATGTGTTTATTCCTTTATTAAGATGTCCATGGTAATGTTTATTTTCACCGTTTCATTTAGGGAAACTCCTGAGGTAAATAAGTAATATCTCTGAACTTTAATAATAAACCTATATTAAATGCTGCGCTTCCCACCTCCAGTTGCAATGACTTCTGGGACTTCCTGAGTGAGTTCGGTGCTCAAGTCTGCATCGGTGCGTCCTCGATATCAAGATCACATCCGGGAAGTTTCACGCGTCCTCCGTTCTTGTGGTCTTGAGTATTGGAACTGAACTTGGGCAGCTGATGATGACGTTGCACGAGGACACAAGACCGCTGAAGAACGCATATTGAGAAACAGCCTTTGTTTCCACGGATTATTCTTGAGATGTTTCAGCAGCTTAACTAAAGTTCACCTGTGGTAAATTCAGTTGATTGGACGAGTTGATTAAATGATCAATAACCCGATGGTCACTCTGTCTGAGCTCCAGCGTTCTTCTGTGGAGAGAGGAGAATCTTACAGAAGGACAACTGTCTGTGCATCAATCCACCAATCAGGCCTGTATGGTAAATTGGCCAGACAGAAGTTACTCCCCACCAGGAATTTGCCAAAAGGCATCTGAAGGACACTCAGACCATAAGAAACAAAATTCTCTGGTCTGATGAGACTAAAATTTAACTCTTTGGAGTGAATACCAGGCATTACATTTGGAAAAAACCAGGCACCGCTCCTCACCAGGCTAATACCATCCCTACAGTGACGCATGGTGGTGGACATCATGCTGTGGGGATGTTTTTCAGCAGCAGGAACTGAAAGACTAGTCAGGATAGAGGGAAAGATGAATGCAGCAATGCACAGAGACATCCTGAATGAAAACCTGCTTTAGAGTGCTCTTGACCTCAGACTGGGGTGACGGTTTATCTTCCAGCAGGACAATGACCCAAAGCACAGCGCCAAAATATCAATGAAGTGGCTTTACAACAACTTAGTGAATGTTCTTCAGTGGCCCAGCCAGAGCCCAGACCTAAATCATATTGAACATCTCTGGAGAGATCTGAAAATGGCTGTACACCGTCACTTCCCATCCAACCTGATGGAGCTTAAGAGGTATTGCAAAGAGGAATGGGCAAAAAATCCCAAAGACAGGCGTGCCAAGCTTGTGGCATCATATTCAAAAAAAGCTTGAGGCTGTAATTGCTGCCAAAGGTGCATCATCAAAGTATTGAGCAAAGGCTGTGAATACTTATGTACATGTGATTTTTCAGGTTTAAAAAAAAAAAAAAAAAAAAAAAAAAACTTGCAACAATTTCAATTAATCTTTTTTTAAATTGTCATTATGGGGTTTTATGTGTAAAATCTGTGGAAATAAATGCATTTAATTCATTTTGAAATAAGGCTGTAACATAAAGAATTGTGGAAAGAGTGAAGCACTATGAATACCTCCCGGTTGGACTGTATATTTGTTTATTTAAAAAAGAAAAAAAAAACCGGTGTGAACTTTCCACTAAAGTAAGTGACTGAATATTGGAAAGCTATCCATTATATCACGACTCTGGCAT